CCCTACGCCTTACTTCCCATCGTCCCGCGCAAGTGAATGCAGTCGGTGGATATGGTTGATCTTCCAGTAGATCAGATGGCGTTTACCTGCAGGTTCGAAGCGGCAAGACTGGTACTAGTTGATCACCGAGAATCGTTTTGATTATCTAGTCACGAATCATGCAAGGTATTTCAAATCTTGAAAGGCCTTTCTGATCGATTTCGGAGCTCGTCGTCTGTTGTTTTGTGGGTTTTCACCTGACGGAAATATATGATCGTTCTCGTAGGTCATCGGATCTTGAAGGCTGACGTTCGGCTTCTTGTGTTCGATCTTGTACGCATAGCAGAACCGTCGTCAAGGATTAAGGCCGTTATCGATCGGCGGTGTTTGTAGGGCAGAGTGATGAATTTACAGAAATCTTGCATGTGAAATTGATATTTGGAGGGAGGGATCGGAGTTGTTTGGTTGTAGAGGATTGTGAGAGAAGGTTAGATGCTTGTGATATTGCTTTAAACTTGTTTGTTGTTGTAGCTAGGCCTTTGCCATGACGGGTGCGCTTGCATGGCAGGTCAAACACTACCTAATAAAATTGCTTTTTTGGGGGGTCGAGGGGGAGATTTTGCTGCGGCCGGTGGCCCGCTCCCCCCCTCGCGGTGTGCGTGTGTTGTGTCTCGTTCTCTCTTCTTCTTCTTCTTCTTGCGAGTTACATGACGATTACTATATACTACTATGCTATATACATGCGTACTTTTCTTAATTTTACAGCGACGTCTTTCAACAAGACGAAAACATGAAACAATGCAGACAATTGTATACGGCGTATCTCTGCAAATTTTATAGCCAATTTTCCCCTTCCAATTATTGTTCATGAGGCGAGGACTTAACATGTTCTTGTTTTGCTGCTTTAATGTTCCTTTATCATTCTCTTCAACGTCATTGGATACGCACATATTCATTCTGAGCAAATTCGTTTAGAGAATTGTACGTTTTTGTTAAATTTTCTCGCTGCAAGTCCATAATACTGATCTACATTTATTTCATCTACTGAGTGGGTAAACGTCTCTTTTTATTATGATTGTGATTTATATATATTTATTTTTCATCCATTGAATGAGGAAGATATATGCGGTTTACTCTCGGCTCTCTTTATTCCCTCTTCTTCGCAAGATAAAGATGCTGCAAAGGATGGCGGGAAGACTGTTAAATATTTGCTTCAAAGCGACCCGTGAGGCCGTGACCCTTTTTTGTTCGCTGGCTTGATGGATTCAGATAGTATCTCGATCATTCACGAAGTTTTTCTCAGTTAGTAGTTATTCTTTAGGAAATATTTGTTTTGTGTTTTTTTTTTGGTTGCATTCCCACTTCCAATAGCTGTAAGTTTAAATCCCCCCCCCCAAGTATTATAAATGTAAACTGTAAAGGATGCTGAATAATAATATGCAGAAATCGTTTCGTTTATTAGCTAGTGACTTTCTTTTTGTTACGATTGTTATTTAAACAAGCTTATGGTTTAATTTTGTTCCGTCATCGATATATGGTCAAGGCACGCTGTTTAACTTATTTGCAGTTTAATTTGACTCACGTTCAGTTATTCATTCATCTCTTTGCTCACGTTTGTTGTGTGTGTCTGTGTGTATATTGCCTTTACAGAGCCGGAAGATTATCAGAAGCATATTGCTTGAGCCTGTACATGAAGGAGAGTGGGTTAATGAATTAGCTCGTAGAACCAAACGGGACCACCACTAGTAATATATGTGGAAAATTAACCAAAGTCCTTTCGTTCGTGGAACCACCCTCCTTCCGTTCAAATGGGCGGATGACTAATTCCGGGCCATGTCGGCCAAATTGTGTGGCTTAGTCATTTGGAAGCTTCTTTGTGCACGTCATTGTTGCGCCATGGAAACCGCTATTCTCTCTATTCTTCGTATTTTCTTGCATGGGACCCGTGTTCTCTAAACAATTAATGACAGCCATCAAAATTTTGATTCGATTAAAAGCCACCAAAGTGAAAACAATGAACCATACGGAGGCTCTAGTGACTCGGCAGCTGGTCCCGTTCATCCCTTGTGAGATGACATTAGATGGATGATGCGTCATTGTCAATTACAAGCACAGTTCTACTATATATTTTTCACAAGATGCAAATAATTGAATTATACAAATTAAAATTGATTAAAAGTAATAAATATATAAAAATGTAACTTATTTTCTAAAAACACACGTTATGAAAAATGTGAGTGGAAGAGAAAAATGAATAGAAGGAAAAAATGAGAGTATATAGTAAATATAAAAATATACAAAAGATATACGCAATTAATTAAAAATAAGCATAAAAAATACATTAAATGTTTATACTATAAGGGTGTGTTTGGTATGAGGATTTGCGAAGGGAGCGGAGAGAGGAGGAAGGATTTTAATTATTTCTCCTTATTTGACAATACACAAGTTTTAGGAGTAGAGAAAAAATTCTAAAATTTTTTTTAAAATTGGGAGGATTTGAGGGAAAATAAATATTTTGTTATGTGGTGACTATTATGCTATATCTTAAATAAAATAAAGCAAAATTGTCCATGTCAAAATATTTTCCCCTTCTTCCTCTCCTCATGAACTAAACAAGATAATATTAAAACTCCCCACCTCCTCCTCTTTTTATAAATTCAAACAAGATAATATTAAAATTCTTCCACTCTCCTCTCCTCTCCTTCTCTCCATTAAAATCCCTTCCCTCCTTTCTTCTCATTGAGCCAAACAGACCTAAAAATCCAGCTCATAAAAAAAATGAGGGGTATTACATAAGTCCTCAAAATTAATTAACAACTCAGCGTTTATTCGGTTTTTATTATCTTTTGTAAGTGGATTAACTGGGTCAAACCTCACACTGGCGTTTCTATGTTGGTCGTACGCGAGTTATGCTGGAACTTATTACCCTTATTTTAATTATAATTATAAGATCTTATTCGTAAACTATAAACGAAGTCTTGTAGTTAGGATTAGAAGTAATTTTTTGTTGGCGACTGTTTTTGTCCTTATGATCGGAAAGGGATTTACCAACAAATGTGCCCGTGATTCGGCCGACTGATTCAATTCGCAATAACCGGAAAAAGTTCTCTGAAAGAAAAAACGAAACTTAATTAAAGTGGAAGTTACCTTTAATTTTAATCAATATAATCCCGGACTTGGGTAGAATATCGCATGCTTAGCTTTTATTTATTTATATTTCTTCGTCCTATTACTTCGTCCTGTCATATTATTTATTAATTTTCAGTTTTTCACAACTATTTATTAATTTTAATAATTAATATATATTACCCTTATCAAAACGGTCCGTGTAAATCTAGATCCCCTTAATTAACAGTACGATGTCCAGATAACTACAGGCAGGTAACCTGATGATTCTTGAATGTTATTGACACCTGTGGCCACCTATACTGATGGCTAATATATGGCCGTCTTTTTGTCAGATGTCCTGATGGAGTAAACAAATATAAATTTCTGCATTAAATTTTCAGATTTTGTTTGTTGGAGATGGAGGAAAAAATTACCACCTCTGTAATGTCCAAGCCAGGTTAAGGATTAATTAAGGCTTTTTGCTACCATGTATATAAATTCAATGTATCAATTTGTTTATTCATTTTGGGTATTTATCAGAAAAATGCTATTTTATTTATCGGAAGAAAATATTTTTCAACAAAAAAGGTGATCATTTGAAAACAGGTATTTGATAATATTAACATTAAGCATATTTGAAAAATAGTAGAAAATCGTAATTATCCCCATGGCTGTGACAAAATAATACTGGCAGCAGTTGTCGACTGAGTTCAATTTGCATCTTCATTATATTGTCGTAGGCTGTAGCTATTGATGGAAGAGGATTTTTTACTTTTTCCTTCGCATTCTTTTCTTTTTTCTGATTGTTAAGTTATTAACTGTTTTAATTATAAAACTTTATTTATAATCTATAAATAAAATTATAATTAGAATCTGAGATAGTATATAAAAGTTTAAGTTGATTTTTTTAAATAAAATTGTTGTTAAAATATCAGTTATAATAAAAAATAAACAATCAAATTGAAAATGTTAAAATCTAATCTAAACCATTCAAAATTAAAGTAAAAAATATTTAAATTATTTAAAACAATTTTAAGATATAAACTAGAAAAGCACAGACCAAACATTAACGATTCTCTAGTGCTTTTCCGTCGCCTCTCGGAGGCCAGGAAACTAGAAATATCTGCGTTGGTACTTGGCTGTACTTCCCTGAAAGTTTCCTCACCCGGCACGCCCCAGCGGCAACCGGAACGGAATGGGCTTTAATGCTTTCCTTTTAATCAAAAGCTAAACACTTTCTTTTTTTAAAAAAAAAAAAATTAATTGAGTTATTTTATTTATAGTTTATAACACGTCCAATCTATTATACTACTTTGGGTCTTTAATATAAAATTCTATTTGATTTTTATTTTGATCCTAAATATAAGACCCCAGTCCACTTTTCTCTCATATTTATATATTTTTTTCCAAAATAACCCTTCTAACAATGATAATTCTAGTCAATACACTTGATTAACAAGGATATTTTATGAAAAACAACATTTATTTAGGACAAATAACTAATTCAACTTACTTCTTTAATCTTCTCAAATTAGTTAACTGGCTCTTATAATTAGGACCGGTGATAGTAAGTTTTATGTCTTTTATAATCTGTAATAAGTGAAGAATGATTGGAAGAATAGCAAAGAAATGGCATCATCATTCCATTTAGTTTGTAAAGAGCGCAATCCCTTTACAATTTTCATTTTCATTTTCATTTTAATATTTTATATTGATGACTATTTATGTTGTTAATAATAATTTTTAAAGTAAAGTCAGTCTGAAAATATAATTTTATAATAATTATGTATGTATTTTTAAATTACTAAACGCCAGTACACCACACTGTTGTCAATCTCGTGGGGCCCCTAACAAATAACAATGAGCTATTGATTATAAATTTAGAATTACCTCTATGAAAAAGTGGCTCGCTCACACTCACAAAAGCTGTGGCTCAGTTGAGAGAACGCGAAGTTGCGTTCCTCTTCCTCAGGTTGTTTCATCTTCCAATTCTCTGTTTTTATGCTTTTCTCGATGTTCTTAGTTGCCACCAGCTGTGCGTGATTTCATGGCGATGTATAATAAGAAACTGATCCATTTGCCTTCTCTTTGTTTTCGATTATCTTTGTTTCGACAGATCTGTTCTATTGATTTCGCGATCAATTTCTGAATGCTTTCTCTGTGGTCTTATTTCTGTTTATGGTTCCTTTTATTTATCTAATTCTGTTTTGTTCTTAATCTGAGCGATAGAGACTAGCTGTGCGAAACAGCACCAGTTTTCCTGGCTCTCTTCCGGTACAGGAATTTTCGGCCACCATGTTCCATCGCAGAAACAATTCTCAACATGACCAGGAAAGCGATGAACTTTATACTGAATCGAAGGTAACAGATGGTGAAATAATAATTTACATACTTCGTACGGCTTACTTTGTCATTGAGGCTTTACTTTGTTTGGTGATATGGTATTAACCTCAATTCAACAGGTTTAAGTAAAATATCTTTTGAGGGCGATGAGACCTAGAAATTGGAATATAACCTGTTTTCATTTTCTTTTTGTGGGGTTTCTCACTACTCCTGAATTAAATTTTGCAGATCATGTAATTCTAATTCTAATACTTCATATTGTGTCGCCAGATTAAAGATCTCATGGCTGCAGTCGGACCCTTATCTGGACGCAGCTTGAAGTACTGCAGTGATGATTGCTTGAAGAGATATTTGGAAGCTCGTAACTGGAATGTGGACAAGTCCAAGAAGATGTTGGAGGAGACGCTGAGGTGGAGATCAACCTACAAGCCCGAGGAAATCCGCTGGGTAAGTCGTGTGAATCTCTCTCTGTTTTTTCTTTTATTGGTGTGTTAATCGGTCTAAAACGCTCAGTCACATTTTCCAGCACGAGGTCGCAATGGAAGGGGAGACAGGGAAGTTGTACAAAGCAGGTTTTCATGACCGTCAAGGAAGAAGAGTTCTTATATTAAGACCCGGAATGCAGGTACCGTAGTTGAACGAACATCTTGAGCATTTATGAGTATTGAAATAGAAATTTTGACGCACTGGTGTGTGTTGCAGAACACGTCGTCACTTGAAAATCAAATGCGGCATCTGGTGTATCTTTTGGAAAATGCTACTCTTGACCTTCCACAAGGTCAGGAACAAATGGCTTGGCTGATAGACTTCACTGGCTGGTCCTTCGGTAACAGCGTGCCCGTCAAATCAGCCAGAGAGACCATCAACATTCTACAGAACCACTATCCTGAAAGGCTCGCCATAGCATTTCTTTACAACCCCCCTCGAATTTTTGAAGCTTTTTGGAAGGTTCAATCTCTCCACTCACTGCTTTCACTTTAGATACAACACAAAATACTCTAGCAGAATTAGAAAACACTCAAGTGACATAAACTGTACATCAGTAATATTATTGACAGCATTTTAGCGCTAAGGTTCCTAATTTTATTTCTCTAAACGCAGATTGTAAAGTATTTCCTGGATACCAAGACATTTCAAAAGGTGAAGTTCGTTTATCCCAAAAACAAAGATAGTGTGGAGCTCATGAAGTCGTACTTTGATGAGGAAAATCTTCCCACGGTATTTGGAGGAAAAGCCATATTGAACTATAATCATGAGGAGTTCAGCAGACTGATGTCTCAGGATGATCTGAAAACGGCTGCCTTTTGGGGATCTGATGACAGGCTCGATAGTAATGGGCATATTTGAGACAGTCCGTCCCAGCGAGCTGAGGTACCTGCCTTGCCCTCCCCCAGTTGGGTAATAAACACTGCATTCACTGTGTTAACCACACTAGTTGATAATTCACCACATTTAGGTTAGGGAACATCTTCAGTTAAGTTGGTTACTGAACTGACTCCTGATTCTTATCCCAGATAAACTTGCAACTGAGCTTAATTTTTCGAAAACATCGCTATGTAGTTGAGTAGAAAGCATTTTTTACACGCATCAAGTATGCTCTTCGTTTCCAAGATATTGGTACTTTACTCTTCATCTGTTGTCCACGAAACATTCAATTACATGAAAAATGCGTCTCAAAGTGTGCTGCGTGCACTCTTCACAACCACATAATTGTCTGATATGCCATCTGATCTCGCCGGGGGGGGGGGGGAGGGCCATCTTTTGTTACCTCTGAACATGCACATTGCTTTAAAGATAGCACTGAAACTGATTTGAAGAAAACATTGACTGTAATCTAAACAAAGAACTACAAATTAGCCTCCATTGTTTGCTGCCTTTGAGCTAGAGGACCAGACAACTTTTCCAATCAAAGGAGTTATTTCTGCGGCCTTTTAAAGTTACAATAGGGACAAGGGCCCTGCATTTCAGAAATGTGGCAAAGTTACAGTAAAGCAAACTAGTCACACCTTCTGTCGCTGTGATGAATAGAGCTTGTTTGGATTCACGATCAAATAAAAACATTTTGGCAAGCTGAAATGAAACTTTTCTTATATACTTATTTCATATTATGTAAAGGTGTGTTTGGATTAGTAATGGCAAAACTGATTTTTATTCCAACTGACTTTTACAAACTTAAGTTAGGATAACAGTTAGTTAATGTAATATGATTTATGTTTGAATTGGCATTTAATGATATATAAAAAGTTAGTTGAAAAAGTTAAAACTTGTTTGGATAATGAATAAAAAAACAAGTTTAAATGTAAAATTACTGAAAAAGGATGTGAACTTTATTAAATAGTAGTATTTTATATTATAAGATTTTAATGTGATAATTGTTAAAAAATAATTAAAATAAAAATTATAAAATAAAAATACTTGTTAACGAGAAAATTATAATAAGGATTTTAAATTGGTAAAAAGAATTTAAATTAAAAGGTTTGTATAAAAATTTAATTTGCAAAGTGCTGCTACCTTATGTATAGAAGTTTATTAAGTCTTTCTCATTAATTAAATTTTTACTGAAGACTTTTTTCCAATTTTCTCTAAATTTAATATTTAATTTTTTTCTGTGGATATTTTTACAAACATATTTCTCTGATCCTCTTTATAAGATACTTTTAGCTTGTTTTACATAAGCAAAGAAAAACCTTAAACTGGATTAACTCTTTATTAAATAACAACTTTTCAATTTTACTGCTATTTAATATATATATTTAAAAAATAACAATTTACACTATAATAAATAAAAGATGAGATTGTACATTCATGCCAAAAATTGATTGACTTGTAAATAAGACAGAAAAAACTTCTCTCTTTACCCTGTAATAGGACAAGAGTATATAATTATTGAGTATTTTTGGAGCAATTTTTTTAAATTTTTATTAAAGTAATTTGGGGCCAATTCTAAGACACTCCTCTCTCATCTCATAATCATCTTTTTTTCTTCTCTCCACGTTCTTAAAGCCAAAAGCTTCTTTCATCAGCATTGAAACACGCCCAACTTCTACTCTCTCCATGTTCTTAAAGCCAAAAGCTTCTTTCATCAGCATTGAAACACGCCCAACTTCTACTCTAATAGTTGATTGAGCTAAAAACCCACCCAAACAACCCACAATATCCAAATAAGTTCTAAACGTTAGATACACATTTTTAAAACGGGGTCCTTAACTTCAGTTTACAGTTTACCCCAACCGTTCCTATCCTCTGACCTGAGAATGTTATCTCATCCGGTCTCCCGTGAGTCGTGATGATAAATGTGGTTTTTTTTTTTTAACTAAAAATTTTGGGTCTATTTCTCGGAAGCATATTGTCATTGAGCCTTCGGCCTGTTCTTTTTGTTTTTCCGGCCTTCTCAGGAAAAATAATATAACAAAATAAAAGGGGAAAGGATTTACGGCTGGCTGAAAAAGTGAAAATGTCAATAACTCAATATTTTACAAACTAGATGAGCTGTTTGAAATATTTGTGCACGATCGTCGCTGATCACTCAATATAGGTTTACTGCTTTTCATTTTTGGTAAATACCAAATTATATTTATTTGCATGATCTAAATTGATATATTTTTGGCGGGCTGCGCCTATGCGTCCTATATACTATTCAAGAAACAGATTTTTGTTTGTTAAATTAACTTACTATTAAGAAGTATTTAGAAGGAATCAAAACTATAGTTTTAAAAATACTTTTACCGTGTACAAAATAAATACATAGAAAAGTTTATTTTAATTTACCAAAAAATACTTTCATAGTTGTCAAACACTTTTTTAGTATTTCATTTCTATGTGCGCCAACTTTATTTTTCCTTCATTGTCGTAAATGGGTAGTAGCCGTTACCTGTTCTGCTGTTCATGGAGATATTCGCATACTATTTACACGAAAAGCTGATGCTAAATTAGACAAAATAAATTAAAATACATCAAAATTTTATATTTGAATCAAATTTAATTTCAACTTACTGTTATATTAGAGCCATAATAAATAATTTATTATTAAGCAGTGGAAATTAGTGGCTCATTTCACAAATGCTCACTAAATTTCACATCACAAGCGTCGTGTGTCATCCCATGGCCACAAAAAGACAGAGATTCCCACCCACAGTGTCTAATCAAGCACAAAGTAGTGTCATGGCTTTCCATTTTAGATCTAATTAAGGACTATAAAATTTTTACACAGATTGGTCGTAATACAATATAGTACAAACTTTCTACTTTACACATCACTCACTTGTCCTGCATCACATGTCCGTCTTTGACCAACTCAAAAACAAAAACCAAGGAAAAAAACGGATACTGTTTGTATTATTATATGCCGTACCCTCTCTCACCCAATAATGGAATTCCTCAGGGGAACACAAAAAGGGTTTCTTGGTAATCCGTAACAGCAGATTCTCTGATGGTTGATTAAATTACAGAATGGACAGTGAATGTGGTATATGAAAGCTAACGAGAGAGACACGAAACCCACCTGGGATGCTTCACAAGTGGTCAGACTGTTACACTCAGTTTCACGACACTCACCACTTTAGCTCCAGAACTACGTACATATCTCTTTAAAATACTCCCATGCCCCTGCCTTAACCATGGTTACTTGTGCTCCTCTGTTTCTCCATGCCTTTCTTATTGGTTTGCGCAGTGGTCGATATACAAAGGGTCTCTATTCTCAGGCATCTGTTCCTTTCCTCTCTTGGTAGCTACGTACAGTCTCTTTCTTCCTGCAGATAGTCGCGGCTGGAAAAAAGATGTCTCCATGACCATCAATGGAATGAAGAGAATCACAAAAGTGATTTGAGGGGGCACATATAGAGTTGAGAAGGAGCTTCTCTCTGGCCACTTTTCTGGTCAAAGATTTTGGTCCACTTGCTTTGTACACATTGAGAAGGAGAGAGCCTGTTGTATTGAGGCAATATGTCTGTACTGCATCGATTGGATTTATCTTGTTGATCAACTATTGTGGATCATAGATTTCGTGTTTCTTGCTGTTATTTCATGATCCACAAATCAGTAATACCGGCCCGGTGTATCACAGATTAGAGAAGGATTTATGGGTAAGAAAAAGGTGCAAAAAATCAAAGAAATTGCGGTGGCGATTGGTGAAGCTTCAGCGATAGGAGATGAGAGCGGACAAAACCAACCTCAACCTCAGACTCTCAGAAAAAGGGGGAGGCCTCGTAAGATAGTTGAGAAGAAAGACGGCGTAGAGCAACTGGCCGGTTCCATCGACGCTGCAGAAGAAAGTTTGGAGAAGCCATTAGAGAAAAACCAAAGCAGCGAGGGAGAACAGCGTGAACCCATCCCACAAGTGGACTCATGGATTACAAACGAAGAGGGAGTCTCCTCTCAGGAGAAGCAACTCCCAGAAGGAGAGCCCTCCGGATCAAGAAAGGCTAGGCGTAAAAGCAAACCCAGAAAGAGCAGTTAAAACATTAATCATCATGAGTACTTGATTAGCCTTCTTTTTCTTCTCTGTCTGCCGCCCTCATCTCCAACCTCTCTCTTCTAAAGAAAAACATTCTCGGTGGTTTGTGGTTGAATTTAAGAATTGTTCTAGTATACGATGCAACATGTGTGTCGATGCTAACTCTTGTGATCTTATCTTATCCATTATCAGCTAATGATATGTCATGTTGTAGAGACTAATCCATCACCCTGTCTCTCGGATCCACACGCTGATATATAAGTGTAAGTTTAGAGTTATTGACTGTCAAATTTATTGCTTGAATCAGCCGTATCATCGCATGCACGCATCTCTTTTCGTGATATATATTCCAAATCACTCTTGGTTCTCTCTTGTAATTTCAGCAGCATCCATTTTGATGTCTAATTAGAGATTGATGGTTTTTCTGGATTTATAATTTTTATTGCTGCTGCATAGCAGTTCCCTTCCAGAGATGGAAATAATTTTGGATTAAAAGTATATCACTTTTAATTTGCTAGCTCATCCAGTGCTGTTTTTAGATTTGAGAAATATGAAGGAGAAGACGTTTGGAAAGAATGAATTGAAGGGAAACAGAGAAGAGGGTAGAAATTAGAAATCAACAGTCGTGTACATGGTAAGGATGTAATCTGAATAGGTAGAGCGGTGGGTGGGTGAGAGTGTGAGAAGATACTGATTGGCTGGTTTTCTTTAGGCCAACACGACGATCCAGAATGACAATTCGATGTTGTGAACACGACGGGACACGCGATTGTCACGTTCAGTCCGGAGCGCGTTGGGATGAATAGTACTTGCTGCCGCCTTCGGCAGCACAAAAGTACCCACGGCCGAAAGGACGTACGTCTCCCAATTGTGGTGCAGCGGCAGAGAACTTCATTTGGGAAGAAACTTGAGACTTTGAACGACATTGTATTGTAATGCAATCTCAACGCATAATCCAGCCGATAGTATAAAAATCCTGTAAAACTTGTGTCCTTTCTTTCTCTAGATCAGTAGCCAAAAGGGGTGGGGGTTGGGAACGAGATTACGGTAACACAGCACAGGTGGGCCTTCCAAAGAACTAATTAATCCTTGAAGAGAGGAGGAGGATGGTCACCGAACTTCTGTTTTGGTCATGAATTATGAACGTTAGAGTCAGATGCAGCCATAAAGGCGTGTAGTATTAAGTTATTTTGGGTCAATATTAGATGGCTCTGCGAAAGAACCAACG